TAATGGTTTTAGATAATTGGTTGTAAAAGATTTGAAAAATAAAAATGATATTATTTTAATGATTGGTTTTTGTACTAATTGCCAAGGAATATATCCCCATGGGGGTTGCTTTTTCTTTTGATATTTTCTTAAAACAAATTGGTCTTTTATATAAATGTTTTATAAAAAAATGATATAAAAATATAAAAATAAATTTAGGTAGAGAGTTGCGTGACTGAGTAATTGTCAGACTATCACCGCGTTGGTAATGGTGGGGTATCACAGGCTAGTATTGAAGTGGCTAAGTAGAAGGGCACTCTTAGGACATGTTATCATCATTCCTCCATGGCTGGGGAATCCAGCAGCAGGTACAACCTGATGACGTGAATGCAGAGGGATGTGTAGAAGATACAGCAGCAGGCACTATAGGCTCAATTCACAAAGCTAACACACCAGGATAAGTATACTTATTTGCAAGATACTGACAGTTAATATAAAGCGCTTCCAAATATATGTACAAACACTGAACTTTGCAGCCAATGCCTAAAATAATTAAACTCTGTCATGAGAAAAGCATGGGAGCTGCTATTGCTGACTTTCTTGTAAAAGTGCTAGTTTCTTGACCATCATGCTGATAACATTGCCTTCAGTTCTTTTTGAGTCACTGTCCTAAAAGTGAAGAGATAGGAAAGTGTCACAATTCCATAACACTCATTTACAACATGCATGTCAGGTCAGTGACTCAAAGTATTCACACTAGACAATCTTGCTTACCAGTCCTGCATTGTATGTGATGTAGGAGTGCCTGTCCACATTTTGACTCTAGAAAGAAGAGGACTGTCTGGCCAGCAGGTGCAGGAACATGAAGTAAGTTAAGTTTCTTTATCATTCCATAGCAAATCAAGCAACATAGTATTCATCGGGCGGGGAATCATTTTAATTTTTATCATTCCTGCCAGGAGTTTAGCTGTAAATGTAGAATGGGTAGTTTAGTCTGAAAGTAAGCTTTCAACGGCAAAAAAGGCGAGTAGGGAACACACTATATAAACAACTGTGCATGAAAGTGAATATCTGTTGGACATCTGTTGGACAACCTCCTATCAAAGAGAAAATATATATATTATTTGAATTGTTTATTATTACTGGGATTTTTTTATTGATGCATAGCTCAGCTTATATATAATATTTTGCAGTTGCAAAAAGGCTACTCATTTTTATATAATTGTTTTGAGGACACAAAAGTTGACAGTGGGAATCGGCTAGCTGGCTGCAGTCTATGGGATGTAATCACTGTTTGGGTGTTCATACAGCCGCTGGGGCAGTGGCTGTCTGAATACATTAGCTGGCAGTGCAGATTCCCCCATCTAGGCAGTTTAGCATGGATAAAGAAATCTATTGATTTTCTTTCAGTTGTCCCACAGGCTGAACTAGAGAAATGTAAGTGTGTATGTCTATCCTAAGGTTTACCCTTTCTCTCTATATGCGTATTGCTTTAGAAACTGTTATTGTACTTGTTTAACCTTCGAGATATTTTAATGCCAAGGAGACTGCTTTCATGATTTCTGATGAGAACGCACAGATTTCACCAGGCAGATTTTTTTACTTATATTTCAGGTCCCTTTGGCATTAATCATGGAGTTGAGCTTCATTCGGATGTGGTTGAATATGCAAAGGAGAAATTGGAGTCTTTCATTAAATACAGTGATAGCTTTGATAAGTGAGTATTGTCCTTGCCCTTGGGGGGGAGGGGGGGTTGTTAGGGAAGGAGAATCATTGAAATGGGGTGGGGGGCATTCAAACATAGGGAGAATATGTGATGCAGATAGGGACCTTGAAGAACTTGTATCTAGAACATTAAAGCTCATGTACTGTTTCAAGCTTCATGTGACAAGCCACGCAACACTCAACAGGTGTAAACGGCTCCATTGAGAATAATGGCATTCTTCATCTTGAGTGTTGTCATGCTGTGGGAATCACTCGACAAAACGCTCTGCTCTGAATGGGGCCTTCCTAACTTAATTAATGTGAATCTCTTTACAATGCTGATGTATATGCCCGGTATCCCCTTGTTTGGGTTTGCTGCCCTCCAATTACCCATAGGTTGTGTACATTTTTATATGCAGCATCTAATTGTTTACAACTATTCTCTAAATAATTGTTTATGGTTTAAAATCACAAAAAAACTCTTCGGAGTTGAGTTAGTGTAAATAAGCAACATTATCATTTCAGACATTATTTTACTGTTTATCATTTTCATCTATAATTTGTGAGGCTTTAACTGCAATTCATTATTAATATATCTAGGTAAATCATCAAGCTTGTAAATTATACCATACACCTTTTCTGTTTCTTCTAATGTCCTTAGGGAGCTATAAAGCCCCTTATGGTTCAAATTTCCTTTAATTTCCCAAAGTCCTTTGCAGACACAGGACTACCTGAATAGGATCCTTGAGAGATAGCAGGAGAGCCTGTCTACCTCAACCGATCCCTTGTATATCTACTTTTGTATAACATCTGCCTCTCCACCTTTCCATCTGTTAATGCTGCCAGATATTTCATTCAGCTTTCTAGAAACCATAATATTAGGCTGGTGAGGATTGAAGACAGGTATTTAGGTGCAACCAGGTATGAGGTGCAAGAGATAATCCTGTAGTGATGTTGGGGCTGATGGGAGGCACTCTAGTAAGCAGTCGAAGACTAGGAAATTGACGCTCCTGCAGGTGTCAGGTTCTGCAGAAACCTTAACCGGCCATTTGCACAGTGGCTTGGCCAGCAGTAGAGGTCAGAATTGGATCTCCTTTATTTTGAATATGATTTTTAGTTACAGAGTCACTTCAATATACTGAAGTCCCTCCTACATAGCCCACTCCAAGAGATGCTAAATACTTTGCACATATCATCTCTCTACATTTTTTGATTACAATCCTGTGTGATCTTCATCGGTGAACATACGTGCTAGGTTTACTTGAGTGAATGTAGTCAGAGAAGCAGAGGGAAGTTTAGGAGCAAAGTATTTTGTACCTTTTATGAGGTAGGTCTTGTGGGGCATGTTCTCATTCCTACTGTTTCTTGTACAGCATTTGTGCATGTTTTTAATTTTGTAGTTTTAAGGTTGCGTATCCTAACTTTGTATAGTTACTCCCTGCAATAGCATAAATCCAGCCTTAACACATATAATAATATAGAATGTTGTATTCATTGCAGTAATTTTCATTAATGTAATTAGTTTTACTGTCTTGTTTTAGATTTGAATTTTGTGAACCTGCTTTTGTAGTGGGCAATTGTTTGGAGATTGCATCAGATAGTCCACAGTATGATCGAATTTACTGTGGAGCTGGCGTCCAAAAAGACCATGAAAACTACATGAAAATTTTATTGAAAGTCGGTGGTATTTTAGTCATGCCTATTGAAGACCAGGTGAGACTTTGTTAAATGTTGTGCTTACTTTGTTTCCCTTAAGAAAATAACAATGTACTGAGGCCATAACACATGTGGATCATGATGCATGTCTGAGAGTGATTAACAGGAGCCCAAATGAAAATACATAATGACACACACCACTTCATACTTGTCATACTTTTTTGTGTGATAAAAGTTTGACAGCTAGGATTGTAAATGCTGTGGGGCATTATGTTATTTTCTTTGGATTTAAAGGAGATCTATGGGGCAACCTTTTTTGCCCATAGTTCTCTTCATGGTCATGGGAGGACATATATTGTGTCCTCCAGTGACCGAAAACTTAGCATATAGCTGGCTATTGCCTGTTACATGCTGAGAGTGCTACAGCCGGGACGTATCCCCACAATACTGTGGAGATCCACCTGCTGGCTGATTGACCACTTGCTCTGTCTGCCTCCTCCCTTATCTATTCCTCCAGTCAGCGCTGGAGGATTGGAGAGGGGAGGGAGGGGGGATCCCTGTTGGAAGGAGTGACTGACAGTCACCGCTCTCTGCAGAGAGAGGATCTGGATGTCAACGATCGGCAGTATGTGTTTGCTGACTTCCCGATCAATAGAGCCGGCCTGTGACAGCTTATTTGTCACAGGTCAGCTTGAATTAGGGGGATGAGTGTTTTTCACTCACCCCATAATTCTTCTTTAAGGTGCGGTAAAGAATTCCAGAGTTTGCCCAGAACCCACGGGTTAGGAATTTTGAAATGTTGACTTGGATAATGATTTATCGAAGTAATATGAACATTCAAAGGTACAATCTGAGGATTTGTCTGCTTAATAGTTTTATTTATAATTGTGTCCAAATTTTCTTAAATTTAATGTTTTTAATTATGTGGGGACATATGTATAGCTGAAGAGTTACATGTTCTCTTCATCTTTTTGTAGCTTACTCAGATCCAGAGAACAGGGCAAAACACATGGGAAAGTAAAAACATTTTAGCAGTTTCTTTTGCTCCCTTAATGCAACCAAGTAAAAACGACAACCACAAACCTGAGACTGTGAAACTACGTAAGTAAATTTACATGCTTCTTGATACCTAGTTTAAAAATATTAATGATCTTAAAGTGACACTAAACTCTGGAGTTAAATTTTAAAAATGCATTCAAGTTTTCTTTTTCCCTTTCTCCTAGCTCATTTGCTCCTCCTCTCCTCCCTAATCCCTCACCGACCTACTCAGTGCTTGTATGTTTGAAAATCTGAAAAATCTTGTTGAAAATTTTATCGGATTTTGTTGTAACCATATTTTTTCAATAAAAATTTTAAGTTTAAAAAAAAAATGCATTCAAGTACCTTAACTATTAACAAAAATATATCTTATTTGTGTATCACTCAGCTGTAGATCCTCAAATCATTTCTGAATTCATGATGACACTGTCCTTCCTTCTGGAGGGTGGCTACTTTTGTTCCCTATGGTCCCTGTGTGTGTTGTAAAGTAGTCACCACTCCAAGCTCGCTCCTGTGATGGGCTACAATCTCACGTTTAGTTTACTAAATGGTACTGAGATTGTAGTCCATCACTAGAGTGAGCTTGGAGCTGTGGCTACTTTACAACACACACAGGGACCATGGGGAACAAATATATCTTATTTGTGTATCACTCAGCTGTAGATCCTCAAATCATTTCTGAATTCATGATGACACTGTCCTTCCTTCTGGAGGGTGGCTACTTTTGTTCCCTATGGTCCCTGTGTGTGTTGTAAAGTAGTCACCACTCCAAGCTCGCTCCTGTGATGGGCTACAATCTCACGTTTAGTTTACTAAATGGTACTGAGATTGTAGTCCATCACTAGAGTGAGCTTGGAGCTGTGGCTACTTTACAACACACACAGGGACCATGGGGAACAAAAGTAGCCACCCTCCAGAAGGAAGGACAGTGTCAGCATGGGTTCAGAGATGATTTTAGGGTCTACAGCCGAGTGATACACAAACAGCGGAGTCACAGGGGAGGTGAAGGGGGTGCGCCCCGCACCAGGTGACACCATCAGAGGGCCTGACAGTTGCACAAGAGAGGAGGGGACCCGCTGGGTGAATGTCCCCTTCTCTCTTTGCCGACGTCCATCTCCAAGATGGCCGCCGGCAGGTAAGCGCGCGTGCTGTCATTACATGTGATGACTTCCCAGTGGGGTTTCACCCAGCGGCTGCTCCAGGTGACACTATGGCTGAGGATGCCCCTGGACACAATTAACCTACATTTTTGTTAATAGGGTACTTGAATGCATTTTTAAGATTTAATTCCTGAGTTTACTCTCACTTTAATATACAGAGGTGTACAGTCCAAAAGAAATTCTAAACATCCATCGAAATAAAACTAGATTGTCTATGTTAAAAAGTAATTGCATCCACAATAGTTTTATTATTATTATTTTAGATACCATTTGGTTTTAAACATGTTGATATGAAAATGCATGTGATCATTCAGATACATTCGTTTTTCTAGTGCATACTCGGAAATACAATGCCAATTCATGACATGGTCAGATCTTTCATTAAGTAATTAATTAGCATTTATAATGTGTCTACAAGATGAATTCCTAAGGGCTTGTTCCCACCAGCTGTGTCCAGGTGCATTTTTTAAACAGTCAATGCTTTACAATCAGCCTAGTTCACACTAATGCGTTCAGTTCCAGTGCTTAAAAAAAAAACCATCAGCATGTATTTGTATACATCAGAACGCTCCTGAATGCATGTAAACACATTAAAAGGCTCCAGAAAGAGCTTAACGCAATTGAAAATAATGTTTCCATACTAATCAAGATTATGGAGTAGAAAAAAAAAAACCCAAAATACGCATGACAAATGTGTATAAACTTGCATGCAGAAACGCATACTGAATGTGGGAATTGTGGTACGAACAAGGTCTAATGCAGATACTGTATGTGTACAGTAGGACTACAGAGGGAGCTTTTTGGTTGTGCTTGTGTTAATGGATGTTTAATTATATGTTGTCTGTGACAAGTCACTTTAAAGTTGGCTAATGAAATTAATCCATCATAGATTTAGTAGTTTAACAGTTTAAATTAATTGATGCAGCAAATAAAAAGATTAATTTGATGGAGTTTAATATTCCACTAAGACCATTTGTCTTTTTTCAATAAAAAATTATGTTTTATTGATCAAATCATTTATGTAGCAAACATGATTTTTGAAACATGCAATTCTATCATCAAAACGTGTTACATTGAATGAGTTTAACATTAAGGCCTCATTCACACAGCGTACAGCCGTATAGGGCCGTTCCCGGGAGGGACAGGTGCTGCGTGTGATTGTACGCAGTAGCCTGTTCTTCCCTATGGGAGGACGCGGCCGTACGCTATCATATGCTCACCCGAGCTGCATATTCGTGCAGGTGTCTGCTCGGACGCAGGCAGGATCCCGGCTGTTCGGGTGAACGTACGGCCGCGTCCTCCCATAGAGAAGAACAGGCTGCTGCGTACAATCACACGCAGCACCTGTCCTGCCCGGGAACGGCCGCCCGTGCCGCACAGATCTGTACAGCCAGACCATATGCTGTGTGAATGAGACCTTAAGTGATGCTAAACTCAGGAGTTAAATCTTAGAAATGCATTCCAGTATCTTAACTATTAACAAAATGAATCCTTATTTTTGTATCACTCAGGTGTAGATCCTCAAATCATCTCTGAATTGGTGCTGACACTGTCCTTCCTTCTGGAGGGGGGCTACTTTGTTCCCCATGGTCCCTGTGTGTGTTGTAAAGTTACCACCACTCCAAGCTCACTCTTGTGATGGACAACAATCTCATGTTTAGTTTATCATTTGTATTGAGATTGTAGTCCATCAAGGGAGCGAGCTTGGAGCGGTGGCTACTTTGCAACACACACAGAGGCCATGGGGAACAAAAGTAGCCGCCCTCCAGAAGGAAGGACAGTGTCAGCACCAATTCAGAGATGATTTGAGAATCTACAGCCGAGTGATTCAGAAATAAGGATTCTTTTTATTAATAGTTAAGATACTTGAATGCATTTTTAAGATTTAACTCCTGAGTTCATGGTCACTTTAAATGTATAGTGGGCATGAAGAAATACAGTTCAAATTGTTAAAGCAGACTTTCGGTCCTGCACAGTTTGCCAAACATTTTCCAGCAATGAAAAATAAAATATATTAAATATTATGTAATTACTAACCTCAGATGAGGTTACTTTATGTCCGATGCAGCAAATGCCATCTTTATTTGTGGCTCACACTAGCAGCACCATTTTGTTCTCGTCAGTGGGGATTATCCTCCTCTTCATAGCTGTGGATGCTTACCTCCTAATGCTTGCTTTTCCCACTTTTCCTGCCTTATTGGTGTGGCTGAAAGTTCCACAGTGAGGTCACTTTGGCAAAGCTCACAGAGGAATACTGAATGTGCCCTAATCACCCTAAACGCAGCTAAATTAATAGCTTAAAGTGGACTCTATTTTAAAATAATATTAAAGTAGTATTAATAGTATTAAGGTCTGGGTGTTTTTTGCGATAATGCATTCTCTGCATTCGGGAACCTTTTTCTCCCACACACACATATCCACACATTTACTTCCCCGCTGCCGGTCCCAAAGTGATCCTCCGTTCCCCGTACTTCCTGGTTGCAGGGGAAGGAAACTGATGGCAGAGTAGCCATAGGCTCCTTCTCACATCAATCAAATGTTGGTCAGAAAGAAGGGGCGTTTCCCACAGGGCAAGAGCGCGCATGAGTGCCTCCATTAGCCGATGGAGGCACCCATGCAGGGGGCTGGGGAAGAGCGTTGCGGAGATCCACTTGAAAACGAGGAATTTAAAACTTTTAGAGAACAACAACAACACCCTCAGGCAAAGGTGGGTCTCCTTATAGCAACTATTTAAAAAAGGAAGGTTTAATATTGCTTTAATGTATGGTTTAGCTGGGAACATCTACAAATCTGGTGGTTTCATCTGGTGTGTGAAATATAAGCAGACAGCATGAATTATCTGTAATACTGTGTGGCAATATGAACAACTTACTACTGTAAGCATAATTTAATTTCTTTCTAAACAGCCCCATGTAATGTCAGGAGTCTTCAAGACTTGGCCCGCATCTATATTCGCCGCACACTTAGAAACTGCATTAATGAGGAAATGCAGGCCAAAGGTATACCCCCAAAGGCACCCCCAAAGCGGAAAAGGAGGCGGTGTCGCCGGCGCCGCATAAACACCTACGTATTTGTAGGAAACCAGCTTATTCCCCAAGCCTTAGATAGCGATGATGATGAAAAGATTGACGAGGACAGCAAAGAAGAAGAGAAGGATCACAATGAAGCTTTGAAAGCCGAGGAACCTCCACCAAATCTTCTTCGAGAGAAAATTCTGAGCTTACCTCTCCCTGAATCTTTAAAGGCATACTTGACCTACTACAGAGAGAAATGATGTACCTGAAACTGTAATGCCTGCTGATTTCATTTCTTTCTTGAAAATGTAGCATTTGTTAATAAACTATTTGGCAGTTAAACCTTTTAGTGACAGTTTCAGTGGACACCTAAAACTGTCTAGACTCCACTCAGCTTTTGTTTTCTCTAAATAGTTCTCTATTTTCTCTACATTTTCAGATACAGTATACACACGTTTTTAGTGTAGCAAGTTATCACTTTGTAGCATAGCTTGCAATTCGGAAAGAGCCTCCATAGCCCTAAGTCAAGATACAGGACAAAGCACATTTCAGACAGGTCCAAGTGAATAGCAGTTGGCTTATACAGCCATCTAAGATGCTTCAGTCACATTGAAACATTCCATTCTGTTTCATTTTTTAAACATTTGTTTATATATAACAGTTGACAGCAAATGTAATAGATTAGCACAAAAGCATTTTGTGGGTGCCACAAATTGTGCAATTGCTGAAAACGTTGAAGTTTCAGATAGGAAATTGTGCTGCCTTTTGAAGAAATTGTTGCTCGTTACAATCTTCCTTAAATTAATCGAATCTATGTATGTTCTGTATAACTAATTTGTTAAATTCCTCACTGGATATCTATGAATATCCTGGTTTATAGTGGTAAAATATAAGTTGTTCGCTGTAATTAATGGAGTTTTCAGTAGACATTTCACTGTGCTCCATTACAGTTATATTGTCCTGATATTCCATCTGGTTGGTTTTTTTTTTCTTTTGAATTGTGCTACCATGTAATAGAAGATTTATGTTGAGTAAAAATAAATAACCTTTTTTTTCCAATATAGGCCTAATGTTCCATGAAACAAGAGAACATGACCATTATTTCGACTGGATAGATCCAGTTGGATTCTCTCTGGAACAAAATTATTATAAGAGTCAGGTTTTTGTAGGCAATGGCACTGGACACTGCATGTGTTTTAATATTCATTTAAATACCTGTTAAGGTGTAGCCATCACTAACCTCTGTAATGTGAAGCACAACTGCATGGTCTGCAGTCATTGTTTCTGGTATTTAATTCAACAAATGTTAATGCAACATGAAGCAAGTTGTGAATAGTGAAGGCCTCCTTAGTTTGGTGCTATCTTATTAATACTACCTGACCTTACCTGAGTTTATAGAATTGAGGATTTGTCACAGTTAATGTAAAAACAGCATAAAGGTCCACTTGTTACCAACCACTATATTGCCATACACTATATGACGAAAGGTTTGTGGACACCTTGCAATGGCACCTATTATATAGGAAAAAGTATGTAAATACCCCCTTAAAATTATTGAGATCAGCAGTATCCTGTAAATGATGCTCTTAATGCTACAGCATACAAAGACCTTTTAAACAACTGTTCACACCCTGCTTTGTGGCACTAATTTGAGGATGGCCCTTCCATGTTCTGGCATGAATGCACAAATCCAGGTTGTTAAAGACATTGTTTGATGAGTTTGGTGTGGATGCACTCAAGTGGCTGCATCGAGCTCGGGCCTCAACCCTACTGAGGATCTTTAATATGATTTGGAACGCAGATTTCGAGCCAGGTCTTCTTGTCCAACATCAGTATCTGACCTCACAAATAGCTTCCCTGAAGAGTGGAAGCCGTTATAGTAATGGTTTTAGAATGAGATGTATACCAAACTGTGATAGTGAGGCATCCGCAAACTTTTGGCCATGTAGTGTATATAATGAATATGGCTTTAAATGAGATTCTGGTGCCCCTGCTTGAGTAAATTATTCATATATTCTTGTTAAAAGTCCACAGGACACTGTATCACTTATCCTCCAGTGGACTTCTCATAGGAACATATAAAGAGCTTACACCACCAAGTGATATAGAAACCTCTACTGAAAAGCCAAGCCAGGGCAGGAGTTGCAGAAGTTTAATTTATAGGTTAGAAAGGCTGCAAACATGAGTGATTTGTTATTTTAGTAAAGCCTAAAGTGACTTGATCATATTGGAATATATATTTTGTTGGCTCAGGTGGCAAGATTTTCTTTAACTTGTGCTGTCATGTGGTCTTAAAGTGGAATCTCATCCTAGAGTTACTCAGTGAACATTACACCACCATAGTACATGTGTACCTTGATACATGCATTGCACCTTGTTTGACTTCTATTCGCATTCCGGTTTCACAGCAATCAGTTTTGCAAAACTGCTGGCTATTACCAGTGACACAATGCAACTCATGATGTTACTCAGCCCTCCTCATGCTATCTGTGTATTTAAAAGCACCAGGTCACAGAGGATGTACATTTAAGCAGGTTCCAGGCATGCTTTGTAATCACAGGTCATAAATGACACGAGAGGAGCCAAGCAACACCTCTGGCCATAGCAGTCAGTTTTCCCAGTGTTAATTGCTTGACAACTGGAGGTCAAACAGATATCAAATATAGTGCTATCCATTTATCAAGGTATGTGTGTTGTATGGCTCTTTAAGGAGGAACTTTACCCATTTTTTCAAAATGACAACAAAGGCACCTTTAGAAATGTTTAGTAATGGCAATCTACAAACAGGTGCAGGCTTTTTATTTTTTAGATTGTTGCAGGCTTTTTATTTTTTGCATATGTGACTAGGACATGTGACAATGCACATCATCTCAGGGCAGTTACATGTCTTTCCCTGAGATCTCATGAGATTATAGACGAGATTTCCCAGCAATGCCCTGCTGATGTAACCTTCCCAAAATGCAAGGCTTGGGCACACTTGCATCATTTGTGCCAAAGTGGACCAGGAAGTAGAAAAAAAGAAATGCTAAGTAAAATAAAAAATATGTTTTTTTCGCTAATGAATGTAAGATGATTTAATTTCAGCATGCAGAGCTGTATGCTGATATAATTTTTAGTCAAAGGGGGTAAAGGTCCACTTTAATATCCATTGCGCAATTCTAGGGTTAATTTCCACTTTAAAAGTGAAGTACAGGTTTTAAACTATGTTATACCAATTTTTAAGGTGTAAGCATCCAATCATGTGAAGAAGACGTATGTTTTTCAAATTCCCCCTACACAATGGGTGCTTGAAGGAAACAGAGGGGCACTTGTCTATGCTTCACACTTAGCACATTAAACTCAGTGTGAGAGAATGTTCTGTTCCGTCATCCACAGAGATGTGGAAAGTAGGAAAGCTTGGAAGTGCTATGAGCTATATGTACAGAATATAGTTTTCCACTCTTCTGAGGAAAGCCAGTTGACTATATTTTCAATTTCTACAACATAGCTTTTTAAACATAAGTGTATAGTTTTCTGAGAGAGAATTTATAACTGAAGTTGCAAAGTAATATTAACTCAGCCTCTGAGCTAACACACCACACTCACTCTGCATGATATTACTGGGCAAAGTTTTTAAATAAATTCCTTCCAAATATGTGTTGTTGGTCCTTCAGTGAAAGGAACGTGCTGAAATGTGTAGTTTCTGTGAAAGCATATATATAAGATACTTCGTTCTGTGTTGTTTCTGAAGAGGAAGAGAGTGTAGGGTGTACAAAATAAATGACCCCTAGCTCTTTTGCCTCTTTAATCACCAGGCAAAGGAAAAATGCTTGTATCTTGCCACATTAAGGGCCCATTCACACTTCTGTGCTAAACAATGCATGCATTTGTAATATTTTTCATTTGTATTGCACTTTTTTCTTGCATCTGAGTGCATTTTAGGCGCATTGCATGTGTTTTGCATGTTTTCTTTGTGCCTTTTTTAGTGGAAAAGAAGCAAGCAGCCCTGTTAACTTCAAAATATGTATAAAAGATGTTGTACATGGGCATATATTCCTACCTATGAAGGCACATTTTCAGTGAAATGCCCCTAAATTGCAGCATGCAAGACTTTTGGAGACTACTTTGCACTAAAGAACACTTGTGGAAACTGCACCATCTCAATCCAAAACATGGATCCCACGTCACACTTTTAGTGCAGTTTTTAATCTTTGTAAAGTATGCACAGGGATGGAAGTGAGAATGGGCTCCAGAAGGCTTAAAAAAGTTCTGCAGCCAAGTATAAAATGTTCTCTATTTACTTCCAGTCGTGGTGGTGGTCCCGCAGCCCTCCATGATAGACGCTGCTCAGCTCAATTATATGCAAAAGGGTCTAAATTCTCTTTTGTTCAGCTGCAGCTGATTGCTAGAGAAGATATTGTGATATAAATAACCATAACAAAGAATTAAAGCTGCAGTCTACTGAAAAATATTTTGGGCATATAGCACCAGTGTCAGATCGTACCTCTAATGACTTGTATCCCACGTTCTGCTACCTTGTCATTACTGTAATAATCCGCCTCTTAGTGATGCTAGATACACCCCACAGAACTGATATTCTGGTTTTGCAATTAGAAGAGGCTATGGCTGCTACTGGGAAGGATCACACCGGATTGTCTGTCTCTCACCCATTTGCAAAACTATTATTTTCCCTTTTTTTTTTTTTTATTATTTTCCCAGTGTGCAACACATTCTGTGAATGGGCAAGGGTGATCTTGTTATTCATCAACCCCTCAAAGAATGCTTTCAATTCTGGAAAAATACAAGGAGTTTTGTGAATGGGTGAGGAGACGGTGGGGGAGGCTCAATCTTTCACAGTAGCAGCTGCAGCCTCTGCTGCTTGCAGCGCCGGAAGGTTAGCACTGTGGGGAGTATCCGGCATCACATAAACTTCAGCTTTAAGCACTGATACACCATTCCTTATTTTGAGAAATAAACAGTTAAACAAATAGAGTTCAGTAGAATTGTTACTGAACGTGCAAACATTCAATGTACTAATTAAGAAGAATGCCCATTGGAAGCTGACATAATTGCTAGACGCAAGCACACTAGAAATGTTTTCAGTAGGTTATGACAAAAAAAGGGCAATTGACTTTCCTTTGTGTTTACATGTAACAAATTCAGGTTTGCTTATACTTTTTAAGTATTGCCTACACATTAACACCTCAGAATGTTTTCATTAGGTGCATTTTACTGATACACTGTATTGCACTTGCATCTGATGGATATGGGATGTTCACTAGACTCCAGCAAACTTGAAATTATTTTATTAGGCACATTTTACCAATGAATAGAGGAAAACATGTAGGAAACCATATCTTCTGCTGTAATCAACATTCACAAAGAGCAGATACTCTAAGAGAACAGCGATGCTTTGTGAATTCTGATTGATTACAGAGGATCAGTCTGAAGGCATTCATTTCACTGGATCTTTGGTAAAAAGCGGCTAGTCAAGGTTTTTCATGTAGACTTGAAGCCCAATTGAAGTCACAGAAAAAGATGTTTTCACGGATAGACATTGTACTAACAATCTACATATTTATACTATTGCATTTACTTTCCTGTTAAAGCTATTGTTTAGTGTGTCTGAATGCAGGTACCAGTGATTGACCAGTCTGTTCAGTGCACTCTAAGTGACCTGGTCAGACATGCCTCCTCTTTCTTAGGGGCTCATTTACACCTTTGCAGTGTGTTGCGGTAACGCGTTGCTGCACTAAGGTAATGCAGCGACAACGCACATGCATTGCAGGTCCTCACAATTTATAGCAACACACTACCATGCCTCATGGTGCACTGAGTTGCCAAAATGGTGCATGTATGGTTTTTTGGACATTGGGTTGTGTTGTCATCCCATCCATTTGAATAAGATGCTTTAACACCAGTATGCTGCAAAGGTGTGAATGGGCCCTTATAGTACTAATGTGCATAAGCACAATGAACAGTATTGACC